ATTGGTTGGTTTTGTTCAGTTACAAGATTTAAATATTGGCTGGTTTTGGTCGATTTTGACATTTAATTGTTTGTCAGTTTTGTTTGCTTTTGAGATTTAAATATTTGTTGGTTTTGTTCGATTTTGACATTTAATTGTTTGTCGGTTTTGTTCGATTACGAGATTTAAATGTTTGTTGGTTTTGTTCGATTTTGACATTTAAATATTGGTTGGTTTTGTTCAGTTACAAGATTTAAAGATTGGCTGGTTTTGTTAGATTTTGACATTTAATTGTTTAGAGTGGTCTGAAAGAAGAAGGGGTAATATATCAACGTTTTCAATAAATGAAATGAGAGCTGGCGATAAGAGCAGATAATCGATGCGAGAGTAGGATTTATGGCGAGCTGAGAAAAAGGTATAGTCTTTGACTGCCTCATTTCTCAATCGCCATACATCACACACGTTGATCTGTTTTATAAAGTCATTAAATAACTTTGAAGAGGTCTGATCAGAATGTGATATTTGAGATCTATCAAGTAAGGAATTATGCACAGTATTGAAGTCGCCTCCTATGACAAGATGATAGTCATTCAAACTTAGTAACATGCGGACTAGCTGTTGATAGAACACACTATCATAATCCTTGGGAGCGTAAACTGAAACAAAAGCACATTTAATATTGGACCAAGTATGTAAGTAATGCGACCATCTGCATCACTTCTAGAGCAGTGTATGGAAAAAGGAAGACGCCGGGCCATCACTATCAAAACCCCTTTAGATTTCTTATCAGAAGAAGGAAAAGAAACTAATTTGTAATATCTATTTTGAAAATGACACATGTCATGAATATGAAGGAGGTTTTATGCATGTTTATGCACTGCAAAAACTGAAATCTAAGAAAATTTAAAAAAAATTATTTCTAGAAAATGTGTCTTGTTTTTTGCCATTAAAGATAAATAGTCTTATAAAATACATTGCACATTAGACTATAAGTCTTAATTTAAGAAAATGTATCTTCTTCGGTCTAGGCAAGTAAATGTTAACTGGTTTTGAGCAAGATTTTACTAGAAACAAGTGATAGCTATAAAGCCCAAGTATTGGTGCATGTTCAATTAGATTGTTGTGCTAATTTTAAGACTGATACCACCCCTAAAAATTATAATTTCAAGAACCTTAAGAAAGGATTTTTTATTTATGATTGTGTCTGTCAGTTTTTGAAAATAAATTTAAGAAAAATTGCTTGTGTGAACATAAAACACTTAACTGCTAAAAAGTGGTTTAATTCTGATTTATTTCATATCAAAATAGAAAAACAATTGCAAATGTTGTATCATCAACAGCTTATTCAACATTACAGAATTTTATGTAGCACAATCACATCCAACAGATTTCTCCGTCAAAATAGACAGCAGACCTCTAAAGGAATATTCTGGGTTCATTACAAGTTATGCTCAATTAGCAGCATTTGTTGCATAAGGCAGATTATCACAAAAAATAAACCAACTTTCACTTTTTCTTCAAAAAAGGTTTGATCAACATTATGCCTCTGACTGAGCTCAACTTGTATTGAACCCAGAATATTCCTTTAAAACATCAAAATGATAAATGGAAGAAACAAACTTGTTTTAAGTTTCAAACAAGTCAAAACACAAATTTACAGAATACACAATTTTCTCACACATTTGAAGCGTTATGTAATTCGATCACATCTCCAAGGTAATATTTAATAGGGACATATGTCATGTCCTTGTGATTGAAACTGTAATACGGTGTGAAGTCTACAAGGTCATCTGCGTTTATGAGTTCAGTTCCCTCTGCCAGGTTGGGAACCTCAATTTTATAAGACATGTAGTCTCTGTTGAAACAGACAGTACTGTACCTCTGACGCTCAAAACAATACAAAGATGAATTTATGACATTAATGTTCCTCACGAGTCCAAATTCGGGCACGCAACTAGAATTTGCCATACACACAAGTAGTGTTTTTTCACAAATGTATTTGTTACCATTCAAAGTAATCCACTTAACAGACACTGCATGGTTTATCTGATCAACTCCAAAGTAGTCTTTTACTTTTACTTTTAAATACGGCATATTTTTTACTTCGGATACTGGTCCTAACACACATTCACTAGTAAAAATGGGGTGGTTGGAACTGTTCACATTCTGACAGCATTCAAACATTTGATTATGCCTAATCAACGACTTGCAGACATTTTTAAAATTTGCTTTTGAAACCCATTTAAAAAAAAAACAATGTTTGGATTCGAATCTCATGCACATGTGTTGGAGCATTGGTCCCAACAGTTTAATCTGGGATGGAACATTTTTATGCAGAGGTCTCTTCTTTTTTCTCTTTTTTGACAGCATACTGCTAATCCAACTGGAACTTCTTCTGCTTCGACAAAACTGAATTTTTCTTTTATGACACTGTCTTGCCTGTATGTTGTTGAAACAGCAGCAAATGGATCTTCAAAGCAGTCAAAGATTCCCAAAGCTTCTTGTTGAATCTCACTTTCTGAATGTCTGTTGAACACTGTTTGTAGCTGACTCCTCAAGCTGTTCAGTAACTGAGCTTGATACTCCTGAACTGTTGCCACAACGTCATTCACTCCACTCTGAGGAAAAAAACAAAAAAAATAATTTAATTTGCAGGGAGATACACTGAAAATTACATAATTAAATAAGAACAAATCAATATGTGTCATTGTGTGTGTGTGTGTGTATAGATATTTTTTTAAACCACCTGTCATAAAGACAAAAATAAATATTTTAGGAATCGGTAAAAAAAATCAAATCAAATCAAATAAAAACTGTCATTTCTTAGGCAAACAACAAGCTGAAACAACTAAAATATTCTTTACAAAATATTAAGTTTTTTGGTTATTATGTGTGAAAGAATATTTTGTATGACCGCCTTTCGCCTTGATAACAGCTTGCATCCTTGCTAGCATTGATTGTATGTACTTTTATGTAATTGGGCATCTGAATAAAAGCAAATAAATAAAATACTGTAAAAAAGTGCTTTACTATTTTTCTGCCTTTCTTGTAAACAAATAGTAAATTCAAAAGTTAATGGATAACAATTATATGTTAGCATTAGAAATACTACTGTGACTAAAGTGCTTACACATACTGGTGGATTAGCCATTACAGAAACATAATTTATTTTGGTAATCACAAATACAGTTAGTTTAGGGCAGCTGTGGCACAAACCTTATATTAGGTGGTTGTCTAATAAATTCAAGCACTGTAAGATTTTTATTTATTAATACCAACCTGTGAGAGATGATGTTTCTCTCTAGCAGTCATCACAACAGCAGTGGCATGTCTGGACAGCACATCATCACTTGATAACTCATCATTCTACACACGAAAAAAAATCTTAACTGTATAATAATTGCATTATATAAAAGACTGTGAAATGATAGTAACAATATAACATCAAAGTTATTCATGTACCGTTGTTTGTTTGGGGAGGCTTGAAGAACGTGAGTCATCCGAAGGCCTGTTTGGAATGAGTAGAGTGGGATTCGAATCTGAAGTTTCATTCAGCACATCCTGTATTTCCAGGTTCTGAGGCGACGGCAAAACGGTTTTACTGCTTAAGCCAGAAAACACTGTTTCGCCAGTGTCAAAATCACCTAAATGTTCCACAGGAACAGCAAGAGAGGGTTGTAGATCCACAGTGTTTCCCAATGTCGTTCCATTATCTGGACTGTTACTCGAGTTCCCTGCTTCCTGAGCCACTAGTGTTGGCCCACTATATGCCCACACATTGCTGCTGGATGTCTCGTGTACTGATCTCTCTCTCCGAAGTGATCTAATCCTGCTCACGCCGTCTAGATATTGTGAGTGTGTTCGTCTGACGTGATACCAAAAAGAGTTGTAGACTCGGTACTCTTTAGTGCATCCATCTATTCCACAAACCAGGCGGAAACCTGGACTACGACTATGTGCAAAATTAATGTGACTCAATAAAAATTTAAGAGTAAGAGCCACAAATACATAACAAATGACGCAGCGCCAAATCATTTTTCTCCGGTGAAATTAAATCGAGATTTCGTACCTAAACAGCAGAAATACTGAGTATAAAATCGATGACTAATGTCTCTTTTAACCGCAGTTTTCAAGTTAACGTTAAATCCGGCAAACCAAACACGTAAAAAAAACCCACAGGAAATTAGAAAACGCGCGCTGAGCATGCGCACTGCACAACAGTGCTTTGACCCTGTGATGCATTAACGTCAAGACGCATGCGCAATCAGCGCACTAAAGTGCAGTTAGAAGACGAAGGCACTTCCTCCCGCCAATTTTTCACCATGGATGGACTCGACGAAGTTGCGATTTCCACTCTAAAAGGTTAGTAATTTCTAAAATTACTTAATTGTTTGTTATGTTAATTCTTGTATTTGAAAATGAATTGTAATGGAATACACACTGTTTCCGACAGAAAAAAACACGTTCCTGCAATCGAATCAAATTAAGTCAACTGAACATTTTACAAAGTTCAGTCTCTTTCTCTTGAGATCTGAATAATAAATCTTTTCCAGTTTGCTGTCTATGTTGTTAGTTGTACTAATAATTGCTCAATTTATTCGTATTTATTTATTTACTTTTTAATATCCAAACGTGAGTTTTTTTTTTGTTTGAGATCACCATGGGGCATTATCATTTATGACGTTGACGATAATAAATTTGTATTCAGTGACATTAGTCAACTATTTCGAAACATTTTTTTACAGCACTTATCAATCCTTATGTTACAACATGCACTAATAATGTTTTTATTTAAATGTGTAACGTATACACTAATATTGATTATTGGATAATGAACAAAAATGAACAGCAGTACTGCCATCAGCCAATGTTATTAAATGCATTAAAACTCTTTATTGCTTTTTCATAATACCTAATATTTTTACTGATGCTAACAAAAATAACTTTGTCAAGTGTTAAGGATATTTTATCATTATTGCCTGTTTGTTTCACTACATTCAGACATTTATTTCATAGTTGTAATAGTAGGCCCAAAAACTTTACAATAAGGTTCATTAGTTAACTATTTTAGTTAACATGAACTAAGAATGAACAATACTTCTACAGTATTTATTAATCTTAATGTCAGTTTCAACATTTACTAATGCAGAAATCAAAAGTTGTGTTTGTTAACATAACATTAGTTAATGCACTGTGAAATAACATGAACAAACAATGAACAACTGTATTTGTATTAACTAACATGAACCGAGATGAATAAATACTGCAGTGGTTCTCAACTCCAGTCCTCATCACGTCAGTGTTCGTCAACAGTTGTGGGAGGGGCCTGTGCAAAGTTATGTCACTTTGCCAAGAATCTGGGAACGGCTTGCTCTGAGAAAGTGCTTATAATTTGTGGGGATTTAAAAAAGAGCACTGGTTGGATTTGTATCCTTATATGGTGGGTGTGTATACACACTGCTAAGACACATTTAAGTTCAAACACCATGTAAAAGTGAATTATGCCTCCAATGTCCCCTTTAACAAATATAACCCTATTTCTAAAGTGTTATCATTGTAATATTTCTGAAGTGAAAAAATATATACATTTGGATAAACTGTTTTAATTAGCTATATTGACATGGATATATATTTTTTTCAATATCTGAAGTCTTCTGTGCACAAAGTATACCTGAGCTACACTGACTAATGTATTTGCATGTGTTCTAAGCTGCTAACATTGGGGAAGACATTTTACCAACTCTCTCACGAGAGGATATCCGAGATCTCTTTCCTGGTCCTGAGCACTTCCTGCGGCGCAAAGCCATTTGGTTTTTGACTCATAAGGAAGAACAGGTAATTAACTTCAAATATTTATTTTGGATATTTTTAACCTGCTAGTGGGGATAATTTCAGTACAGATAATTTATATGTAAGTTGGTGTGGTTGAAGAATAACATGTATACATACATGTGAAACACTATGTGAATAAAATGATAAATTACTTTATCTGATTTGATTAATGTATATATTTGTATTTTAGGGGCACACCATTCCTGTTGAAGTCCAAGGTTCATCAGCAGATGATGAACATACTGAAAGTTCAAAACAAGATGACCCCAGCACTTCAAAGTTTTTAAAGTTACCCAGCCCAGAATATGTTCTCTTCACTGACAGTGAACTACAACACGTGAGACGGACATACTTTGAGCAGCAGCGTCTTGGAAAAGAGGGTGACGTCACCTTATCGAAGGAGCTGTTCTGCCGGCTCATCCGAAATACCATGACAAACATGATATCAATTGCAAGAGCATCTTCAGAAGACTACAAATATCCCACTAAACATGAAGTTATTGCCATGGCAAAACGGTTAGTGGAATACTACCCTATGATGAAAGATAAGTCAACTGGATCTAGGCATGAGTGGGTGAGTGACATCATTTACTAAATTATAAAAAAATAAAAAAAACGATTAATTGATACTTTTTTTCTATTGTACAGGACACTGTTGCCAAAAAGCTCCTGAAGCGACTTTCAAATATCCGAAGTCCCGTGAAGGCCAAACAGCCTCCTTCCAAAAGAGCACGTCAGGACAGAGGACCTTCTGCTGCAGTGGCAAGTGACTATGACGCTGATTCCAGTGCATCAACAGTCAATCTGTCACCACCTTCAAGATCAAGCACTCCAAGGCAAGAAAATGACAACATCGATGAAGCATGTAAGTACATTAAAATTTACTTAAAAATAAGGTGGCCAGACGTGTCACTTCGTGGGGACACGTTCTGCACAGGATTTATGAGTTGCCTAAAATAACCAGGTGTTGGTTGTTTGCGCTGCGCCGATCGCAAACAACCAACACCTGGTTATTGTAGGCAACTCATAAATCCTATGCAGAACGTGTCCCCACGAAGTGACGCGTCTGGCCACCTTACTTTAAAATGTATTAGTGTTTTTAGTAAATAACAATAGGTACGTTTACATGGACACTTTTTGCTTCCATCAGAATTAATTTATTCTGATTGACGAATCCGAACGTAGTGTTTACATGAACGCTAAATTTAGTGATCGGATTGATATGCGCGTTTATATCTCACAAGCTTCTGATCGGATTTACTCTTTTGACATGCGCACACTGCATGAATATACAGAGTTTCCCACTCAGAATATACAGAGAATATACAGAGTTTCGTCGTCGCATGCTGTTTTAAAAAGCACATGTGATATTTATCTACTTCGGGTCCTAATTTGGCAACGACAAGCACATAAACTGTTGTGCAGTGCTGCTTACTTTATAAAGCAGTAAAAGTGCCCCTTCCCGCACCCAAAACCAGTCGCCTGTTGATGAGAGTCTTAAACAAGGACTGGTGGGATGTGTCCTGCTCCACTTCACAGACACTGAGTGAAAGGGGAGTTTTATAATGACGGGACACTCATTTATGACACTTTATTCACCAGGAAGAACAGCTCGTTCTGCCTGTCATACGTCATTACGCTATTTCTACGTAACTGCGCATGCGCAGTACTTTCCAGTTTCGGTTTTCAATCCGATCAAGTGTTTACATGTTTTCTCGCTTGGATTACAGAAGGAATAAACCAACCCTTACAATCCGATCGAAATTTTAGTCGGATCTGGCCAATTCAATCCAATTGACGTGGTTACATGTGACTTTTTTATTCTGATTGTGCTTCTAGTCCTATTACGATCAGATTATTAGGGTCCACGTAAATGCAGCTAATGTTTGATAATATATGTAAGCCTAATTCTTCCTTATTTCTTAATGTAAAATACATTCTTGAATTGTTGATTTTGTGCGTCTTGTTCAGTAATTATATTGTATGGCTAAATTGTAGCTGATGCTCCAGACAACAGCCTTGACAGCCAGAAAACCCAGGCAAGACATTACAGGACTCTACAAGAAATGTACAAAGCAAAAAAGCCAAACAAAGCTGCTGTAACCCATCTATTAAACCTGGAGTTCCAGTCCAGAAGAAATTTCATTGACTCGAATGCTTTGAAGAAGCAAGACAAACCAACAAAAATTTTGAAAGCATACCCCTGCTTCAAAGAACTGGACCATGTGGGTACACAGATATAGCATATTTTAGACAGATGTAAAATGTACTGACAAATATCCCATATCCTCTACCTAACTGCAGACAGAAATTTTTATTTTATTTATTTTTATTAAATAATTATTTCAGGCAATGGATGAACTGCGGAGAATCATTGAGCCAGACAATTGCAAATACATTTCCGAGGTGAAGGGCAGGTGGGAGACCTTCTACTCCAAGGTTCAGTTTTATGGAGTGATGAAGAAAGTCATGAAGCCTCCGCGGACATTAAATGGAGGTAAAGCTTTATTTAATTTTTTTAATCTGTATAGATCAAGGGTTCTCAATTCTGGCCCTCAAGGTCCAGTTCAGCTCCAAGTCTAATCAAACACACCTGAACAAGCTAATCAGTGTTTTCAGGTCCTACTAGAAATCTACAGGCTGGTGAGTTTGATCGAGGTTGGAGCTAAACTCAACTCTAATCTCAAGGGCCAGAGTTGAGGACCCTTGTTATAGATCAGTGGTTTTCAATTCAAAAATGTTTTTCAGTTTTCAGTTGAGAATGTTGTGCAAATAGCCCCTTAATTCAGTTCATGGAGCTCTTTTCTAATTAACTTGTGATCTGAATTAGGTCTGTTAAATTAGGGAGACATACAAAATGTCCAGAGCAGTGGGTCTCCAGGATCAGAAACCAGTGATATAGATTATACCCACAGACATAATATCTGATATTGATATAAATCTCTCCCCCCCCAACCCCCCCCCACTTAACTAGTTGAACGTGCCATTGCTGTTTTTACTGCCCTGCCACTGCTCTTCCCATCTGGCTCAACAGCACCGAAGAAACAGGTCCCAATAAGTGAGGCTCTTTTCCACGTTCTGACAGTGAGTTTTACTTCAGTAGTGATAAATTATTAACATGTGCATACACTCTCAATAAAATACTGGGTTAAAACCATCCTAATTGCACTACATAAAATTGGACATGCAACATAAAAAGTAACTTAAAAGGGATAGTTTACAGATAAATGTAAATTCTGTCATCATTTACTTGCCCACAAGTTGTTCCGAACCTATATACCTTTCTTTGTTCTGCCGAACACAAAAGTAAGATATTTTAAAGAATGTTAACCCAACATATCTGGGTCAGCATTCACTTCCATTGTAGGGTTAAAATACTATGGAAGTGAATGGTAACCCAGATCTTATTTTGATTTTTGCTGTGTGTATAATCTAAATTCTGTATTTTTTTTATATTTGGTTTTCTAGCCCTCAGAGGATCCCGATACCTACATCCACAGGCGCGCATTTTCCACTCCTGTCTTGCTGGTTGGTGAGGAGAACTGCATGGTGGTTGTAGATACAACTCCAGTTCTAACATTTGACAGAGACTTGCTCCACGAGGGGCCTCTCTACCTCCTGGCCTATTACTATGCATTTCATCTCACGTATCCAAAGTGTCTTGCAACACTCTTGTCTGTGTTGCAAACACAAGTTCTGAGAGATGCCATCCACGAGCAGGATGCAACCCCCTCGTACAAAAAGGCCATTCAAGAATGGAGAATGTTTGTTGACTAATTACCGTTTCAAACCTGTGAGGCTGTGAGACAGCTTCAGTGTTTTTTTGTTGTTGTTTTGTTTTTGTTTTTCCATTTGCACTTGATTTGTGCTGTTAGGAGTTTTTCCCCATTTTCAGTAGTGTTTCATGTCTCTGACATACAATAATGCAAAACATTCGAGTAATTACTGTTTGTAACTTACGGAACTGCTGTTTGAGGTTACAGTGTCGTTCTGTGCCAGTGTTTTTTCCTTTTTTTTTCTATTCTTTTCTTTTTTTTTTAAGGAAAAGTTTTAGTTCGTTTAGTTAGTCAGTCTTAGTTTTGGACTGTTCATCCCATTTTGCTATACCCTAGTTGTTTAAGAGGAAAATGTTTGTTCTTGAATCTGCCATACATTAAAGGCATAGTTGACCAAAAAAAAATAAAATTTTCCTCATTTACTCACCCTTATGTTGTTTCAAACTAGTTTGAGTTTATTTGTTCTGTTGACTACAGCAGAAGATATTTTGGAGAATGTTGGTAACTAGACAGTTGATTATAGCCATTGTCCTTCACAGTATTTTTTATTTTTTTTTCTTGCTTTGGAAGTCAATGGCTTCCATCAACTGTGGCTACCGACATTCTCATCTTAAATCATCAAATATCATCTTCTGTACTCAACAGAACAAAGAAACTCATACAGGACTGAAAGAACATAAAGGTGAGTATGATCGAATTTTAATTTTTGGGTCACTATCTTTTTAATGCTGTACATTGATTCAGTAATTGCTGTTTGAAGCTTAAATGACTGCCATTTGAGGTTGTGTATGCAGCTAGACTGAGGCATAGTTTTTTTTGCACAGAACATTTGCTGTAAATCTGTGCCAAGTATTTATTTATTTTTTTTGTAAAAATGTAAGTTAGCCTTGGAATCCGTTTATCCTGATTTTATATGCTCCATTTGTTTAAAAGGCCAAACTTTGGAGAATGTTCTTTAATAAATGTTCAGCAAAGCTGAGTAAGTTCTTTTTTTCTTCATTTAAAGTAGGGAGAGGATAGGGGATGTTTATTTTGAGAATTTTCATCTCATTTTAGGTTTTTGTGTGATCTTAAAAAAAAATCGAAATAAGCTGGATTTAAAGTTAAATATTCTAGTTTCAATACAATTTTCCATAAAATTATTATTATTCCGTGCTTATAAAAAGAGAAAACTGCTAAGTTTTAAGCATGTTTGGCTAGTTTTAAGACCCAACAGTATTTTTAGTGACTAGATTCAAGTTCTAATATTCTAGTTTTAATGCAGTTTTATTTATTATTCAATTATTATAAGCTAAAAAGTCTAGTTTTAAGAATTTGTGTCTAGTTTTAAGATCCAGTAGCATTTATTATTGACTAGATATTTATGCTGCTTTCAAGAATTCTTACCAAGTCGGTTTTGCTTACCCCATTGGCAGATTTTTTTGCTTGATTTTGGTACACTTTAACTAGATTTAAGTGTATATTGCTTGTTTTAAGAAGGGCCTTTTTTGCAGTGTGACAACTGTCATTAAGTGTCATTCGCTCAGTTATGTAATTTTTAATGCAAATATGACATTATTTGACCTAACCCTAACCTAACCCTACCCCTACCCTTACCCTTAACCATAGCCCATAACAAAGACATCTCAAACAATGTCATCTTTGCATTAAAAATTACATAACTGAGCGAATGACACTTAATGACAGTTGTCATAAACATGCATAAAAAACCTTCATATTCATGACGTGTCATGTCATGATTATGTAGGTGTCATGTCATGATTATGAAGGTGTCATGTCAGTCTTATGCACACCCCTTCAAGTAAAGTGTAACCTTTGGTTCTCTTAATGGCGCCATTTAAGCCGTTGACGTTCCAAGACATTACATTAAGAACCATAATTCAGTCAAATTACTGTACATTTTACTTAATAAGAAACAAAAAATAGTGGACTTACATGAATAGTTCATGGCATCTGGAACAATAAGGGAACAACAACTATAACGAAACAGAGAGGCAGTGAGCGGAGAGTGAGAACAAACTCTCCTACCTGCCATCACAACAACCTCATCTGGATATGTGGCCAACATAACGGGGTCACCCAAGTCCCAAGGCCGACTCTGTATCACAGTCCACTAAAGTAGTACTCAGCTTAGTCGCGATATCAGTCTATACATCTCCTCCTAGAAACTACAAGCTGGCATCGGTTAACATTCCCACTGGCGTGCTGTCACTTACGGGCGGAGGCGTAGTTAAGTGCCTGTTGCTGGTCAGCATAAGCTTCAACTTCAGTCGGCGTTTGGAGATGAGAGGTTGATCCGTGATGTGTCACCTTGATCGTGGCGGGGTAGATCATGAAGGAGGAGATCCCGAGTTGCGTGAGTCTTTTCCTAGACTGATTCATCTCGTGTCTTTTCATGGCAGTTTGATTACTGTAGTCGGGAAAGAAGAGAAGCGAGTTGCCCTTGTGCAGTATTTGTCCTGCGGCTCGTGCTCCCTTAAGGATGGCGTTTCTGTCCTGGAAGCGAAGCAATTTGAATATTAGAGTTCGCGGGCCTTTTCTGTTGCTGTCACCGGTGTAGATGCGATGCGCCCTGTCCATCTCGATCGATCTGTTTTTAAGTGACGGGATCCACAGGGGTAACTGAGTCTGCATGAATCCTAGAGGATTGCTGCCCTCTTCCCTTTCTGCGAGACCGACGAGACGAATATTACATTATTACTAATCAGTCTCATCTCTTTCTCCAGAATTCCAATTCTTTCGGTGATCGGTTGAAATTCCTCCTTAAAAATTTCCCGAACGACGCCGAACTGTAGCTTTAACTCGTCAGCCACCATGGCACGCAGCGCTTCATTAGCAGGCTCTTTCTGCTGTTTTTTTCTCCGGAGAGGACGGCAAAAGCTGTCATTTAGCCATCGCAGAAAAGTAAACAAGTTCAGAGAACAAATATAAGAACATTGCGCCGAGACTATAACTTAAACGAATGGTTCAACGACACCGGGTCTGGGAGCTTTAGACTCAAGCGGCCATCTCTGTCAGCGGATCACGTGATCTCTCGCGTTATTTGTCTGTTATGCATTCTTTTAGTTTAGCCTCCCTTGATGTTAGAGGTTTAAGAGATCATACGAAAAGGAAAGCCTTATTTTTCTATTGTAAATGTAGTAACGCAGATTTTATTTTTGTTCAAGAAAGTAATTCATGTGAATCAGACAACAATTTTGGAAAACTCAGTGGGGAAACTCAATCTTTATGAGTCACGGATCTAACCGTTCTGCTGGTACTCTAATTTTGATGCATAAATTTAGGGGTGACATTTTAGAATTTTTATATTTGATGCGGGTAGATGGATCCTTTTAGTATGTAAAACTGAAAATGTGGTATTAATTTTATATAATGTTTACGGGCACAACTCACGGAACGCCAATGTGAGCTAAGCTTATTAGTATACAAAATCGCTTTATTAATGCTTATCTGATTATAACTGGAGATTTTAATGAAGCTCCAGACGACGTACAAGATAGATTTCCTTCAAGAAGTACTTCTAATGCATATGATAACATTATTTTATGGTTGTGTGAAAATCTTTCGGTTGTAGATGCATGGCATTTCTTTAACAGTGGTTGTAGAGGCTTTACTTGGTCCAACATATCTGAATCACTTAAGGCTACCATCTTTTTTTCTCATTTCTTATTCTATTTTGAAAGATGTCATTTCTGTTAATCATCAGTTTGCCCCATTTACTGATCACATTTTAATTTATTTGTACCTTAAACAATATAAAAATCCAAGTAGTACAAGAGGTTACTGGAAATTGAACAATTGTCTTTTGGAAGATGCCCCTTTCAATGATTATGTAAGTCATCTGGCTAAAACAATGTTTAGCAAAATTGAAGGTGATTGCTCTAGTTGGGAGTTCTTCAAATTTAAAGTGATAGACTTTGCTGTTAACAGAATTAAACAAATTAAAAGAGAAAAAAATAATAAAGAATTTGAACTTATTTATAGGTTAGGCGTTAAGGCAGAAGAACAATCCCAGTAAAGAAGATGAGGTAGAATATAGTGTCTGTCAAATGAAAATTGGAAATATGTACACAGAGATTGTTAAAGGTGCTTTCATACATTCTAGAGCAAAATGGATTGAGAAGGGTGAAAGAAACACTCATTACTTTTTTGCTCTAGAGAAAAGAAAACGTAAAAACATCTCTGTCTGCCTTAAAGATGAATGGTGATTTATGCACCAATCCAGGAATGATCTCAACTTTTGTATACAGCTTCTACAAAGAATTGTATACTTCTCAGTTTTCTCAAGAAAAATGTGATGCTTTTCTTTTGAGTATTTGTGATAAAGCTTCAGGAATTAATGAGGATTTTAAGTTACTATGTGAGTCTGATATATATATTACTGAAATGGAAGACACACTAAAATCTATGAAGAGGGGGAAATCTCCAGGTACTGATGGCTTGTATGTTGAATTTTACATGTTTTACATTTTTGGGACCTCTTAAAGCATCCTTTATATTGTTTAATATTTGCAACTCATTTAAAATCTGGTCTTAACAGTATAATTGGCTAAACACAAAATGGATTTATGAAGAATAGACACATTAGTTCCAATATAAGACTTGTACTTGATCTCATTGACTATTCAGAGAATGTCGATTCAGACGCTATTATAATGTTTTTGGACTTTTATAAAGCCTTTGATTCATTAGAGCATCACTTTTTGTTTAAATCTTTAAGTGTTTTTGGTTTTGGAAATAAATGTATTAACATGGTGAGAATGCTTTATAATGATATTAATTTTTAAGTTTTGGTTAGCTTGCAAACTACGAAACCTTTTAATTGTGACAGAGGAGTGCATCAAGGTTGCCCCATTTCCCAGTTTCCCAGTTTCTTTTTTGCCGTTGAATTGTTATCACTTAATATTTTACAAAATCCCATTTTGAAAGTTATTTCTGTATTTGGTAAAGAATTTAAAATATCTCAACTTGCTGATGATACTACTTTATTTCTTAAAGACCAAAGTCAAATTCCATTAAGTATTAATATTATTCAATCTTTCTATGAAGCCTCAGGCTATATTTAAATTGATCAAAGTGTGAACTATTTTGTTTTTTTTATACCCAACAATCAGCAATACATCATATACCTGTTAAAGGCTGTGTCAAGTACCTGGGGATTTTCCTCACTAAAGATAGATTGCGTCGTCAACAACTACATTTTTCACCTAAAATAACAAAAACTAGATTAATTTTTAACTCTTGGCTTCAAAGAGATCTATCCATTTATGGCAGAGTTCTTATATCTAAAGCAGAGGGGTTGTCTCCCTGTGTTTATCCCACTTTATCTTTAGCTTTATTTGTTATTATTGTTATTATATTTGTTATTATTTGCTGATGAATAAAATGTTGGTGAATTTTATTTGAAGGAATAAGTCCCATAAAATCAGGAAATCTGTTTTGTCTAAC